AGCTGTTGTAGGGTTGTTATTATTATTATTATTATTATTATTGTCTTTTTTATTTTATTTTACAGAACGACAGTAAAATTACAATACTATCAATTATGAATGTCGATGGAGTTGTTGCTTTTGCTCGGCTTTTATTTTGGCAGAATTCCGCAGGAAGATCTCAGTGCTTCTTTTTGTTGACAAGAGCATGCAGATTTATAAAAGATTCTCATTACGAATTTGGGAAGATGTTTGTCGCACGTATCACATTGTCACATGCCTTTAAAGTCCGCGTGAACCGGAAGTTGCTGCCGACTTTATTTCAGTGTAGTGACGTATTTCCAGCTGAAACGGAATATTGAATAGAGGGCATGGTTTTATGTTTGCGCTCCTCCTCTCTGTCTCTCACTCATAGCAATCTAACGGCTGGAGGGGTGTGTTTAAGGATATTCTGCCCAAGCCGTCAAACTGACGTCATCAGAAAAGGAATGCCATTCCAGAGCGGAAGTAAATGTTCAGATTTTGATTAAAGATTACGAAAACGAACGATTTTTTTCAGCGGATTATCTTGCACGGATTAATTGTTGACATCAAGACTAGCAATGTGCGCTAGTAAAGTAAATAGTAAATTTTGATTTCATGCGGACTTAAAAAAAAAAATTCACAAAAATGTTACTAAGCAACTGACGAGTAACAAGTTCAGTGCAGATTTTCCTCGCGCTTTGGACTTTGAACCCTGGCGCCGTGAGCTCGTGCAGCGCTGTCAAAATACATGCAATTCGTGCGTGCATTAGAAAATATAACATTCTGCAGTTTATTTACTAATCGTTTGAGGCCATTTCGCATATCGAATCATCATACAGTAACCTAACCACCAGCATTAGCCACCTCTTCTTCTCATCGGAGACGTGATGCAGCACTAAACAGTCTCTTGCTGTCGGTGCTCCGTGCTTGTAATGATTTCTGCGTCTTTCTCTGATAGTTTTAAATACTTTCACACTGCCGACATGTTTGCTGCATTAGCGCGTGCCTCTATTTGATCGCGTTCGTCATTGTTCGGTACATATTATTCGCCCTTTTCGCTTAGTCGGCCGAACAACGAAAGAGATTTTTTTGCTATTTTCGTCCGAATAATTTCGGTTGCCGAATATTCGGTGCATCCATAATAATGTTACAAAAGATTTGTTCTTTTAAACTTTATATTAATCAATCCTAAAAAAATGTATCCGTTTCCACAAAAATATGAAGTAGCACAACTGTAATAATGATCAGAAATGTTTCTTGAGCAGCAAATCAGCATATTAGAATGATTTCTGAAGGATCATGTGACACTGAAGACTGGAGTAATGATGCTGAAAATTCAGCGTTGAATCACAGGAATAAATTACATTTTAAAATATATTCACATAGAGGGCATTTGTTTTAAATTATAAAATTTTTTCACAATATTACTGTTTTTACTGTAGATTTGATCAAATAAATGCAGCCTTGGTGAGCAGAAGAGTCTTATTTCAAAAGCATTTGAAATGTTTCACCAACCTTACCAAACTTTACAGTAATTTAAAAAAATATAGCATACACAAATATGGGTTATATTTTAATTATATCTTGGCATTAAATGTGTGTTTATAACCAACATTTCTCTCATTCCGCCTGCCATATTGGATAGTTTTTTTTTAAAGGGGTCATATGATGTTGCTAAAAAGAACATTAGTTTGTGTATTAACCCTGTCACAGTGCATTATGGGATTATGTTGTCCGCAAAAGATGCATGTATTGCTGCCTGCAAAGGTAGATTGCTATAAATCCTGCCTATGTAGGCAGTTCACTAGAGTTGAGCGAAAAAAAAAAGAGTTTGTGCTTTTCAGACATTACTGTGATGGTAATACCATGGTATTCTTTGAAGTATGTTACTGTACAAATTAATATTTAGAAGCATGGTTTATGAATATGGTTATCAAATAGTACACATCAAAGTACCACATATTTGTTTTGAAAAGAACTAATAGAAATGTGCAGTCCTTCATTCCCGTGTGCTGTCATGTGAGTGTCTGACTGTGGTAAATGGTGTCGCCTCACCGCAGGTCTGATTCAGGTGGGCAAGTGGAACCCCGTGCCTCTTTCCTACGTGACGGATGCACCCGACGCCACAGTGGCGGACATGTTACAGGATGTGTACCATGTGGTCACGCTGAAAATCCAGCTACACAGGTCAGTGTTTCCCATGTACTGTACCCACAGTGCCGCCACATACAGTGCTGTTTTTCCCACAAGCTACTGCTGTGGGCACACGCAGACACACCTCTTCCTTTTTCTGTAGACGTCCATGTTCATCTGTCTGTCTCTATCTGTCTCGTCTCCAGAGGCTGTGTGGCTGTCTCACACTTTAAGGTGTGCCGGATCCAAACTCTCCTTTTCTTTGTGTGTGCGTGTGTCTATGTGCAAACATGGACGTGTTAATTGCACATTACAGCAGTACTATGGCTCATCCAATTACTCCAGTGTTTTAAAGAACTATGAAACCATCAATATTTAATTATTAATCCGGGAAGCCTTTTTTTATAAGACAAATTCAAGACTAAGCATGTAATTTTTTTACTTGCAGCATCAGCTTCATGTACCTTAAAAAGCCATTTATTTACATTGAAGTAGGAATCATACAAAAAAAAAAAAAGATTTTTTAAAAGCTTTTTAAACAAATACTGTGCAGCGATGAAATGGCACTTATTTTTAAATATTTCCTACTTTTGTATATATTCATATTTTTAGTATGTTTTTAGTTCATGTATCATTCAAAAATGTATGTGCATGTATGTATGTATGTATGTATGTATGTATGTGTATATATGTGTGTATATATGTATGTATGCATACGCACACACAAAACAATAATAATAATATAAAAGACTATATATCATTGTAATACATTCAGTTTGGTGTTCCTTCAGTGTCACCAAACAGGTTTCCCTGTCTTCCATTGGTCAGACAAACAAATAGTCACTCATCCTATGAGTTAAGTCAAATCTGTTTGTCTGATTGATTGCAGACTGTTTGAAAACAATCATTGTTTTTGCAGTTCCGTTTTGTCACACTAGTGACGTAGAAATGACGCCCCTCAGCCTTAATTTTCATCCCATGCTGGCGTCGAACATCTCTGAAGGGATTTTTTTTTTTTTGCATGGAGTGTTGCGATATTTTCTTGGCAGCTTGCCGTTTATTGCGTCCTATTGAACAAGCATTCATTAATGACACCCTGAATGCAGCTGTGTTTTCTCCATTGATTTGATGATGCATTTTCATGTATGAATGTTCTGAATTCTTTTTTTTTTTCTTTTAAATAAAGTATTTAGATGATAGTGGATGCTGGACTTTTTTAATGCATCTAATATCAAAATCTAGATGGAAACACCTTAAATTGTTTTAGCAAGCACATCAAGGCAGGAAGGTAGAAGTAACGTGAAATAATAGTCGCCACATGCAGCTGATGTATAATTCATGCATCAATACAGCAGATGTGTTGTATAAAGTAATTAACTAATCAGAACAATCAGGAGAGAGAGAGAGAGGAGAGAGACTCCAGATGCATCTGCTTCATGAGCCAAATGAAATCTGTCTGTCTTAGAGGGACGCTTGCAGCAGGAGAGCAAAGCCCAGTGCTCACCGTCCTCTCTTTCTCTCTCTCTCTCTTTTGTTTCCCTTTTCCATCTCTCTCTTGTTCTATCCCTTCCTGCAGTTGTCCTAAACTGGAAGACCTTCCTCCAGAGCAGTGGACCCACTCTACAGTAAGAAATGCGCTCAAGGAGTTACTCAAAGACATGAACCAGAGCTCTCTGGCAAAAGAATGTCCCTTATCACAGGTGCTGGAGCCTTCCACGTCTAGTTGCCAAGATTCCAAGTGTCCCTTTTCAAATGCCCAGAGTTTGATGGAGTGGAAATGGACAGAATTGCCATAGAAATCCAAATCAATAGCCATTGTCATCCCCGTAGATTAATGCACTTCATTTTGATGCTGTTGCAGCAATGCTAGCCGTTGTGAATACGAGTATTGTTGGGTAAACAATGGGCGAACCACAATGATCTTGATAATGCATTACAAGCTGTGAACTGTTATGGGTGAATCTCACGAAACCTGTCAACATGTCGTGTTCTAACAATCCAAGGAAAGAAAGAATTGTATTTTGCTTATGGAAAATTAGTTGCGTAGTTAACTGCATATATAACTTATATATATATTTCAATAATTTTTTTGTACTGAAATGTTCTATTTTAATATAATATTTAAAAACATAGTAACATTATTTTGGAGTCTTTTAATTTAATTCAGGCTTATTAAAAAAAAAAAACTCTTACTATAGTAAAAATCTAATCAGAATCACTGAAAAAGATGTAAAACATCCAGACTGTTTCAGTAATGAGAATTTGAGGGGGAAAGTCTGCTTAATTGTAATGAAAATTATGAAGAAAAATAAATAAAAATGGTCGGTCCTAGAAGTAAGCGTAATGTTTTTTTTTTTCAAGTGAATTGAATATTTTTTTTCTATTCTAATCTTCGATCTTTATAAAATCTTTAAAGTATTTTACGGCATTATAGTATTATTTTGGAGTTTTTATACAGAATTTTTATTCATCCTGATTTTTAAAAAAAGTGTAAATAAACAAAATACTGTATTACCAGAATGAAAATCAAATCGGAGTCACCTTTCAGAATAATCATGAAAAATGTAAAACATCCAGACTATTACAGTAATGAGAATTTGAGGGGGGGAAATCTGCTTAATTGTATTGAAAATAATTCAAAAAAATTGTAAGGGTCCTAAAAATGGGCATTTTTAAATGTAAAATATAAATGCTTTTTTCCCCTCTTGATTTTGCAGTGAAATGGGATCTGGACATGATTTCATGAGATTCACCCTTAAAACCACACTGCATTTTAAATAAGCAGAGCTGCCGTTTAAATGCTTAAGGAAAGGCGAGCGTTTCAGCTCGTGAGTTGGCGCCAATCGCAGTCTATTTCGTCTCAGGGAAGCCCGTTCTTTACCTGCAGGTGTGTGCGTGTGTGGTGATGTAAAGAGTCCCAGGGTGCTGTTCAGGCAGCGCAGGGGCTGGGCCGCTCCACATCTCTCTAATCACTCTGTTTACAGTCCATATGTGAGCTATTCCCACTGAGCAGCGGCCCGGTACTTACACTGAATTAGAGTCCGCTCACAGCTCGCTTGCTGTAGACTGGGCGGCCCACACGTGTGTGCTGCAATTTTCGGGGGAGGGTTTCTGCTTTTGTTGTTTCTGATTTCTCTTGCTGGCGTGAAGGAGGAGTGTCTTTCGCTAATTTTAGTCGTTACTTCTCCAGTTAGAACAGGCTGCCTCGTCTGTGTTAGGGTCATCTTTGATGGGTAAGCTAGTAGAGGTGACCTTTTTATTTAGGTGAACAGTCTTGTTGTTGAACAGGAAGAGTTGAAGAGATCAGGTCGATTTAAGAACAAACGCCAACTTTTATAGGATTAGCGTCATCTTGATACTCCGAACGCTAATCCCTGCTCTTAAAAAGGTTAATGAATGGAGAATCAGAAGGAGAATTACACCAGAGTGGATGGGGATTGTGAATATAGTGCATTTTTTTTTCCAAAGCTACATTGCATGTTTAGATTTACACGCTAACAGGAGCTGTTCATTCTAGTGTAGTTGGTGGACTTTGTGCATGACTAGTTGGCTAGTCATTCTTAAAGGAAGCCTTGTGTAATTATGTTGATTAGATGGACTGCCATACACCAACCAGACATTATTCTTAGTAAAACTAGCAAGCCGGACCGAGTTCAACCGAATCAGGAGTCTTGATGCGTTTTTCAAACTTGAAGTAGTTTTCATTTGACTTCAACACAATGCTCATTCTGCGAGAATCTGAGAAAACAGCCAAATGGTCAAAAACTGTGACAAAAAGGCCAAATGCATGTATGTGCTTTCTCATAACTATACTCTTTCTAGTTATTATTGTATTATTACTAAAAAACATGAGCTCTGGAAGTTAAACATTTATTTGAATTTTACTTTTGTTGTCATATTAATGTTGATTTTGTCAATACTGACATTGCTATTAATTTTAAATAAAATGTAAGGGGATTAACTTTATTTTAAAAAAGTTTCAAAATTCATCCCTTAAGTGTTGTATCATAAAAAATAAACACTATTTTAAATTTTATAATATTGATGCTGATATTTATATAACTATTATAATATTTATATATGATATTGATATTAACGCTAAAGAAAGGAGAAAAGTAAATTGCTCATCCAGGTTTGTGTGGGGCCCCTCCCGCTCATCAGCCGTCTTTCAGCACACGTATGTTTCCCTGTGATCAAACTTAACCCCTGTGTCCCCTCAGACGACTGCAACAATAAAGCTCCCCACCCACCCCATGGTCCTGAAAGAGCAGCTGTGTAGTTGCATAGCAGCAAATAGCCGTCAAATACCATCTTTGCTTGGGTTTGACATGGGCTTCCCCCCCCCCTTTCTCATGCAATGGACGAAAAAGAAGCTGTAATTAAGACGTTTTTAAAGAAAAAAAATGAAAAGGAGGGGGAATTAACCCACCTCTCCAACACAATGTGAACAGTCTCTCCGCAGGGAGACTAAAAGATGGCACGTAAGAAGGAAGTAGAAACAGTGAGTGCCTGGCTAGATACGGAGCGGTTTTTTATGGAACTCTCCTGTGACGCCTTAAGTGTTGTATCATAAAAAATAAACACTTTTAAATTTTATAATATTGATGCTGATATTTATATAACTATTATAATATTTATATATGATATTGATATTTGCATTGATGTTTTTATATACATTGACATATAGTATAGTACATTTTAGTATATTTTTTTTGTGGTGGCACAGATTAATTTAGCATCTCCTCAAAGTAAATATGCTAAAACTTTCCAGTGCCATTGTTTACAAATTAACCATTTAATTTAATTTTATAATATATATATATATATATTGGACGAAAAAGAAGCTGTAATTAAGACGTTTTTAAAGAAAAAAAATGAAAAGGAGGGGGAATTAACCCACCTCTCCAACACAATGTGAACAGTCTCTCCGCAGGGAGACTAAAAGATGGCACGTAAGAAGGAAGTAGAAACAGTGAGTGCCTGGCTAGATACGGAGCGGTTTTTTATGGAACTCTCCTGTGACGGAAAGCCAGATAGATGGTTCAGGTCGATAACGGCGTGACAGACTTCCTGGGCGCACCGATAAGCCTCACGATGGTTATCTTTTAAAGAGGCTTGTCCCATTACCTGTTGATGGCTCCTGGCGTTCGGTATGCTGAGGTGTTTATCTGCGTGGTTTGTCCTGTGTTGCGGTGGCGTACGGGTCTCGGGAGTTTAAGACGAGTGATTAATGAGCAAAGCTTTTCATAACATCTGTGTCAACTGTACCCAATATGAGCGTTTGACTCGCATCAGATCTCAAATAGATCTTTGATGACTCATGAAATCTTGGTAATTTCATTGCTCCTCTATTGTTAGTTGATGGTTTTGTTTGTAAGCTCCCTTCCATCCTGACTGTTGTTTCAGATCAGCGATAAAAGAGGCCGTGACATTTTAAAACGCCAGTTGGCCTTCAGATGTGCGGTTTGAACCTGGCCTCCTATCAGCATGGCACTGTGGTTTCATATTCCGCCCTTGCTTTTGGAGAGCATCTTCTGCTCATCTTGGATACTGTTATATACACTTCTCATTTCTCTGGCAGCACAAGCTTTGGCAGTAAAGGTTAATAGTCCTTCTTAAGCGTACACAGCGATGTGTGCTTTGGTGAGTGGTTAACCCTTGTCTGGCTGGTCCTGCTGAACTGTGCACCTGTTCATGGAGACGTGCTGGAGAAAGGTTCCAAAAGAGTTTTTCACCCTGATGCTGTTGGAGAATCTTTTAAAATTCCATATAGTGCCTTAGTTCCTCTTTGACATCAAAAAGGTTCAATTTAAATTTTTTAGTTCTGTATCATATAAGATTGTTAAAATTCCATATGATGTCATAGGAGAACCATTTAAATTTCCATGTCATTTAAGAACATTTTAAAGTCCCATGTCATAGAAGAGCCTTTTTAAATTTCGAGAACTTTTTAAAACCCCATATGATATCATTGAACAATTTAAATTTCCATATTATGCCATAAGGCAAATCTTTTTTAGTTCCAAATAATGTTACAGAGCATTTGTAAAATCTGAATGATGTCAGAGAATATTAAGTTCCATACACATCATAGAAGAACAATTTAAAATTACATTCCATATGATGTTAATGAAAGAGAAATGTTAAGTTCTGTATGATGTCATAGGAGAACATTAAGTTCCATATCATATCATGGAAGAACAATTTAAAATTACATTCCTTATGGTGTCAAAGGATAACATTTTAAATTTTATTATTATGCTACAAGCAAAACAATTTAAGCCTTGTTAAACTCAGTAGGAAATCATAGAAGAACCATTTGTTTCCATGTCAGTAAGGACATTTTTATATGATATTTTTTTCTAGTAAGAACAAGTTCCATATGATGTCATAGAAGAGACTTTTTAAATTCCGTATGAAATCATAGGATAACACTTAAAATTTCCATAATATTCCATAAAAAATGTTTTTAACATTTAGTTCAGTGTTATTTTACAGAAGAACTCCATATGTATGAAATCATGAAAGAGCAGTTGAAATTTCCATATTATGTCATAAGCAAATGTTCCATAAGATGTTAAAGGAGAGTCACATATGATGTCATAGAGGACATTTTAAAGTTCCATGATGTCATGGAAAAGCTATTTTAAATTCCATATGGTGTCATAGGATAACTTTTTTTTTAAACACCAGATATCATATCATTGATTAACACTTTACATTTTCATATTATGTCATAGAAATAGTCATGTTCCATATGATGTCATAAAAGAGCCTTTTGTATGAACATGTTTTAAACTCCATATATTATAGAAGAACCTAAAAGTCCATGTTATAGAGAACATTTTATAGTTGTGATATCAAAGAAAAATATATATGATGTCAAAGAAAAACAGTTCTTGCACCAACCTATAATCTAACATCAAAAACAAATCTCCAAAGAACCTTACAGTCACATCAAGAACCCTTCAGAGGGAAAATGGTTCTTGATAAGGGAAGCATAACTGCCTCTGAAGAGCCTTCATTTTTGAGAGCTCATCTCTAGGTCTTCAAGATGCATTTGGAAATGGGAATGCTGAAGTTATCCATAAACTCAAACTCTATCGTACACCGCAAAGCCCCCCTCCTCCGCACCACCAAGTCCCCAAGTGCTCATGTTATAAAAATGATAAAGCTGCCGTACCTGTAATTTAAAAACAGATGGTTTCATCTTTTGAATATTTATAACAATCAAAACAATTTCTGTGCTATGTAGCCCAGGGCTATTAAGGTGTTAAGTGTTGGGTTTAATGAAAAAGAATCTCAGCTTTTTTTTTTTTTTGGAGTGGAATGTATTAAAATAGAAGAAGAAAAAGCAGAGGAGATGAATGGGAAATGTGCTGTTAGGGCAGCGAGGAGACGTGAACTCGTTGTGTGGTCTCAACATGCAACTCCGGCTGTGAAAACAGATTGCGAATAGGAGTTGCATTCATATAGGGCAGAAATCCCCAAAGCATCATCTGCTTTGCTGTCTGCCTCACAGAGCCTCCTGGATGCATCCACTTTCATACTCTGTGGCATTTGTTAAAGGGACATGTATTTCTTAGTTTATATTTTAGCAGAAAAAAATTACATTGCATACATTTTTTGGATCAAGATATGACACTGTATACCATATACATAATGTTAAATTGTGCGTAGTACAGGATTTTTTGACAGACTTTCTTATTGTACTGTGAGTAAACATACATTTTAAACGACACAAAATTTTGTCTTGCAGAGTATGATTTCTTCAATTGTTAACAGCACTTACTATGCAAATGTGTCTGCGGCGAAGTGTCAAGAATTCGGACGCTGGTATAAACATTTCAAGAAGACAAAAGACATGATAGGTAAGCCGAATGCTTAACAAACATTTGTGAAATCACATCTAAAAGAGATCTGTCTATCTGTCTACCTGTTGACTATTTATGTCTATCGATCTATCTGTCTGTCTGTAAATCTATCCGTCTATGTGTGTCTACCTATCTGTTTGTCTCTCTATCTCTCAATCTGTCTATTTATCTGTCTTTCAATCTATCTCTATCTGTCTGTCTGTCTATCTGTCTGTCTGTCTGTCACTATATCCGTCTATGTGTGTCTACCTATCTATTTGTCTCTCTATCTCTCAATCTGTCTGACTATCTGCCTGTCTGTCTGTCAGTCTGTCCCTCTATCCGTCTATGTGTGTCTACCTATCTATTTGTCTCTCTATCTCTCAAGTGTCAAGAATTCGGACGCTGGTATAAACATTTCAAGAAGACAAAAGACATGATAGGTAAGCCGAATGCTTAACAAACATTTGTGAAATCACATCTAAAAGAGATCTGTCTATCTGTCTACCTGTTGACTATTTATGTCTATCGATCTATCTGTCTGTCTGTAAATCTATCCGTCTATGTGTGTCTACCTATCTGTTTGTCTCTCTATCTCTCAATCTGTCTATTTATCTGTCTTTCAATCTATCTCTATCTGTCTGTCTGTCTATCTGTCTGTCTGTCTGTCACTATATCCGTCTATGTGTGTCTACCTATCTATTTGTCTCTCTATCTCTCAATCTGTCTGACTATCTGCCTGTCTGTCTGTCAGTCTGTCCCTCTATCCGTCTATGTGTGTCTACCTATCTATTTGTCTCTCTATCTCTCAATCTGTCTGACTATTTATCTGTCTTTCAATCTATCTCCTATCTATCTGTCTGTCTGTCTGTCTGTCTGTATCTCTATCTACGTATATCTATATGTCTCTCTATCTGTCTATTTGTCTATCTTTTCTGACTTTTTATGTCTGTCTATGCAAGTCTGTCTGTCTGTCTATTTGTCTGTGTATCTAGTCTTTTCCTTGTCTACTTATTTTTAACATGCCTCATTTGTTTGTTCTTTAGATTCAGTTAAAATGCAAATCTAACAAATCCCTGTCAAATATAGACCTATGTTTAGGACAAAAAGTCTTTTTTGACTTCAAAAATCTATCTTTGCCATGCAAATAATAATCAACAGCACTGTGATTTTTATCTTTTCAAGTGTTCAAACACGCACCAGTCAGTCAGTCAGGTTGTTATACTGCAGCTCTTGACATCTGCCTCTTGTTTCCTGTTCACTTTTACCCCCACTAACACTCTCTCTTTCTCTCTCCACACCTGTGAATGCGTGTGTTGCGTGTCTGCGCAGTCGTGCGCCAGCCCTCCCAGCTGGAGGGCTACCTGGGGACGTGTGTCCTCCATGACAGTCCACGTGCCACCACGTTAGGTAGGTTACGTGACGCACTGCAACCCTCCCCACCTTATTATTCATGAGCACATGTGCTAATATTCCAATGGCGGCGACACCGTAACTTTGCGTTAACAACTGACGGCAGGCCGAGAGCCTTGTGAGCGGGACAATTAGCGTCAGATGAAGCAATCTGCCACGATAAAAACTTGCACATAAACACATCTGTACACAACACTTTTGTCTTTTGTTGTGGCTCTAAATGTTTGCCATATCAAAACAAATGTATTCGTATAGCGCTTTTTACAATACACGTTGCTCAAAGCAGCTTTACAGAAAATCATGTTAATATTTATAATAATGTCTTCTTCATGCTTTATAGTCGCTTTAACAAATTAGAGCTGGGCGATAATATAGTTAAGCAGTTTTTAATCTAAATTAGATTGTTTAATTTCGAAATTTGAAGCAAAAACAGAATGGTCTGACTGAACTAAATTGATCTGAATAATGACATTGTTGACATTTTAGAGCTGCTTCACAACTGAAATGGAAGAATTTTGCAGCATTAAAGATTCCATAGTTCACCTATGCAAGTCAATGGGGACCAGCAACTGAAGGTGAACTATCGTTCCAAACCTGTATGAGTTTCATTCTTCTGTTGAACACAAAAGAAGATATTTTGAAGAATGTTGGTTACCAAACAGTTGCTGGTAGCCATTGACTTCCATAGTAGTTTTTCCTCTGATGCAAGTCAATGGCTACCTACCTGGTTTGGTTACCTACATTCTTCAAAATATCTTCTTTTGTGCTCAACAGAGGATGAGTGAATGATGATTTTTGGGTGAACTATGCCTTTTTAAGGCTGTTATTTTCCTGTTCATTACTGTGATGCTGTTTTGAAACAGTCTGTATTGTGTATATAGTGCTACATAAATAAATTTGACTTGATTTTTTTCCAAAGTGACTTATATTGCATACAAGTTATATGTTATATTGCATTCAAGTTATGGGTTTAATCCGTTCATGCATTCCCTGGGAATCGAACCCATGACCTTGACATTGCTCTATTGTCTAAACTGCAGGAATGCGAAGCTATAGTTATGCCAAGGTTATGGGTTTAACTCCCAGAGAACACTGCTAATGAGAAAGTGCATGTCTTGAATGCACTCCCTATTGTAACTGGTTAGTCCGCAGTGGATTGCGTTTCATAAGTGGTCAGTGAGAGGCCGGTCTCGCAAGATCTTGCAGAGTGTGGCAAGCCGTCTCTAGCGCAGTAGCGCTCCCATTCAAACACAGCCGGGCTGGAGAGCGAGCGCCCGCCGTGCCGTAGGGTTTTACCTCCCTCCCCTCAGCCCACATTCTCTCTCCCATTGTGCTCCTAATCCCAGCCTGCTTTGTGGCGAATTCCACAGAAGAGACTCCGGTTCTCTGTCTGTGTCGTCGCTGCAAACGGGGCCTGCGAACGCTTTCTTCCAACCTTTTCAATTTGCATGGAAAAGCGTGTGCCCCCCAGCAGTTTTCCACACCAAAAAGACAACTGAGAGGCATACCGTAACATCCGAGCACAGGAATGATGGGGATTATGGGAGAGCTTTGATTATTACCCAATTTTTTGTTTGTTTTTGTTTTTTTTCTGTCCCTCTCACTTTCTGCTGATATTGAAAAGAACAGCCGTGGCTTTGTGCTCGCTGTCAGTTAAGACACATGTTTGCATCCTTGTGCTTATTGTGCATATCTCTGGAGAGTTTCCATGCGCTTAATCTGGTTTTTATCTTCCAGTTGAAATATTTATATTTTGATGATTTGTCATAATGCTTTTTTTGCACTCTATAAAATCCGTAAAATTGTCCGCGCTAGTAGGTGATGGGCATTGTATTTCTCTTTTTTTTTTTTTTTTTAAGTAATATCTTTCAGCTGACTACCTGTGTTTCAGGAAAGCACAATGCTTTAGTCCTTTAAAGGATTGGTTTACCATTTTTTGCTATATTTACTCTGCTTTACATTGTTCCAAATCCATATGCTGTTATTTTTCCATGCAACACAAAAAGAGAAATTTAATAAATCTTCAAGCAGCTCTTTTCAATATTCATAGTGACCACATCTGTCAAAAATCTGCAATAAGCTGTGAAATGACAAAAAAAAGCACTAAAAGTAGTCCATCTTTCAGAAAAGTGACAGATTATGGGTTTAGAATTATTTCTTTAAATTCACACATTCATAAGTACTTTTTAATTTTCATATTTTCAAGCATGTTTGCCACCACACCTTATTTTCTATCCGCTCAGTCTGGCCTGTTTAAGAGACCATGCTCTGGGCTTCCAGCGCATCACGCTCCGGTTATATTTAGACTTTCCCAAAATTTCATATTAGCCAGCTTGTGTACCTTGTTTTAGAATTAAGAGCATAAAGGGCGATTCAAGTGTATGGCTCTCTGGCTCGGTCCATGTGAAGACGTCCTGCTCGCTGCTTTAGCAGAGCGCCCACACTGCCGTGTTGTTATTGCTCACATGATTTGGCCATGGACATTATAAACTAATTTCTGGTGCTGCCAATTTATGCAGATACAGGTCACACACTGTGCCCCATCATATTAGAGAGGTTGTATTGGGTTACTGTAGTAATGGCAGGCTGGAACGGGCTTGATTAGTGTGTTTTTTTTTTTTAGCTTGAAACTCTTGCTTTTTGACTTCATGTCATGTCCAATTTGTTATGAAAGTGTTTACTATTTGATATTGATGTGTTTTGTGATGAATTCTGTTCATCATAGAGTAGTAATAAGGCAATTAATCACTCATTTTGAAAATATCAGCATGCCCATTTGTCCAGTTAAGTGATAGTTTCTGAAGTTCCTTTTTTATAACATTTATTGTTAATTTTTATTCATTCATTTTCAGAATTCATTTCTAAATTTCATTGTGTTAGTGATCGTAAAAGTATCAATATATTTTGGTACCAAGTTGATACTAAACTAAAATGAATTTTTTTTTTGATGTTAGTATGTAATAGAGTTTTGAATTGCATTTTAAAAAACAAATGTTTTTTATGAGGTAATAATGTAAACACTGACAGTTCATCTTAAAGTCCGATCATCTCTGCGCATTAGACCTAATAGACCTGCCGCTGTCTTTGTTGTTGTTAATATGAATCCAACAACACAATATTGACATGAAAAAGAGAAAAGCACTTTCCGTCTTTTCTATTAATGACTGTTTACATGAATAAATACTTGAAACAATATTTACTTAATTGAGAAATGCTTGCACTACATGCCACTAATTTAATTTATTCATATTTATAATAATATATATTTTTTAAATAGAGTGGGTTCAGTAGCATATTAGATGCAGTGGTATCGAAATTAGTATCTAGAAACATGAAATTTCACTGCTTTTGGGATCAAACTTTTTTATTATTATTATTATTATTGTGACATCCCTACATATATTTTATTTTTACTACATTTTTTTATTGTATATAATTTTTTTAAATTTTTGTTTTATTTATTTTGTATATATTTATATTTATTTATTTTATATAATATATTTCTTATTTATTGAAATCATATATATATATATATATAAACATTTTTAAATTATTATTGATAATCAAACACTGGTTTAGAGTAACAGCATCAGCTTGGTTGGTTTTGTTGATTTTTTTTTTGTGTGTCCACTTTTAGCTGAGATGGACAGTCTGTCTGATCTTTCTCCACCCGGAACCAACCACCTCAGCTTCAGTCAGCAGCCCATCCCGGGCAGCACGGCCGAGCAGTCCCCGTCCCCGGTGCCCCTGTCCCACAGCAGTCAGGCCCCCAGCCGTGCCCAGCTCCCCGGCCTGCACCCCGGCCTGGTGTCCACCCCCATCAGCCCCCAGCTGGTGAATCAGCAGATCGTCATGGCTCAGATCCTCAACCAGCAGTACGCCGTCAACCGTCTCCTGGCCCAGCAGTCCCTGAGCCAGCAGTACCTCAACCACCCGCCCGTCAGCCGCGCGCTCAACAAACCGCTGGACGCGCAGCTGTCCACCAACTCCGAGGTCTCATTGGAGATCTACCAGTGGGTCAGAGACGAGCTGAAGAGGGCGGGAATCTCCCAGGCTGTATTTGCCCGTGTGGCCTTCAACAGGACGCAGGTACATATATTTGGATTATAATATATGATACATTTGGAATAAAAGTGCCTTTTGAGATAAAAGATAAACATATTACATGGGGCAAGATTATCACAAAATGATACATTTTTAGCAAAATTGTCTGTCTAATCCTAGTTAGACAGATTTGTCTTCTCACATCGACTACAAAAACCTAGCAAGCTGTCTACATAATAATTTGATTCTTTTTGTTTAGTAATTTTCTGTTTATTTATTTTAGTTATAAAAATTGTCAAACAACAAATCATGAACCGTTTTCTCGAAGTCTCTTATGCAAAGCGTCATGCTGATTTCTAAGATATCATCTTTTGGACATTCCCTTAAAGGGGTCATATGATGCGATTTCAAGTTTTCCTTTCTCTTTGGAGTGTTACAAGCTGATTGTGCATAGATAAGATCCCTGAAGTTGCAAAGACTAAAGTCTCAAAACCAAAGAGATATTCTTTATCAAAGTTAAGACTCTGCCACGCCCCCCTAAAACGGCTCGTTCTAACACGCCCCACATATCTACCTCACTATGTGGAAATATTAGCATAATGCAGCCCAAATGTGCACGCAAAGAAAGAAGGCATGGTTTCAGTAACCGCAGTTAGTGTTGAAGCAACATGTCAGGGAGACGCTGTGTGTTTAAGTGCGAAAGCAAAAGCACTTTATTTGGATCACTTACAACAGAACAGCAATGCATTTTATGGACGACCGTTTCGTGAACCTAGGAGAGGAGGTAATTCTGACTTTGCTATGACAATCTGGCGCTTCTGAATCAGCTACTGTTTTGTTATTAGTTTAAGTATTTTTAAGTATTATTTGCGTGCGCACGCGCGCGTGTGTGTGTGTGTGTGTGTGAGAGAGAGAGAGAGAGTCACATCACAGTGGAGTCAGCTGTCTTAACCATGGCTTGTGTACTGCATCATTACTGTGTCTGTCACGCGACTCTGTTCCCCAGAGTAAAGACATTGCTCTGTCTTTACATTTATTTTGAAAGCTGAAGCTGGCGATTATGGTAAGGGGCGTTACATTTCCGACCCGTGCTTGCAGTGTTCGGCCAATCACAATGCACTGGGTCAGCTGGCCAATCAGAGCTGACTGCGCTTGTCGGAAGGAGGGACTTTGTAGAAAACGAAGCGTTTGAGAGAGGCGGGGCATAGAGGACCTACAATAATGTACAGTATTTGAAAAATAATGTGTTTTTTGAACGTTAAAGCATGTCAACATATTCTGTTACACCAAATACACAAAATAATGATCTTTAAAAAAGCATCATATGACCCTTTTAATGCACTGCAACTAGCAGAGTAGAAGAAATCCAACCAAAACGGCAGATAAATGGTTTCAAGACTGGAAAATATTGATTAAAAAAATATTCCAGTCTAGTTAGTTACATGGCAGTATTTGGTTTTTCTGTCATTTTTTTTTTTATTGGAATATGGCAAAAATAGAGGAATTTTCAAGAGGTGACTTAAATAGCTCAATCTGGAAAGAATTGAAAGTAATCTTTTAAGAATGATTGGGTGATTTTTGTTAAGAATCTATATAGAAAATAAAAATTACTTTATTACTTTTTACTCCAAAGATTTTTGGGTGATAATCATCACGAACAATTTAGAAAAAAAACCTTTGAATATTCTTTACAAGAACCAAATCAAGTAACCATAAAGTCAATGGAGTTAAAACAAATAAATCAACAACAACAAAGTCATATTCCCCTTTTTTCTTGCAATAAAAATAATAATTATATTTTTGTGATTTATTATTTAATAAAAACATTTAAATAATTTTTTTTTTTATTATTATTTTTAAAATAAAATTTGAGTATTTAATACAAATAATTATAATAATTAAAATATATTTTTTTATACAACAAAAATACTGTTATTTACTCTTAATGTCTTTATTTTCAAATTTTTAATCTTTGAGCTTTTATTTTGGCGGAAAGTGAGCCCTTAAAGCTCTTGCTTTGTTGGCATCCGGTTTATATATGATTTTTGTTGCAAATCTAGTAAAATTGGTAGCACTGGTGCATGTTGTGCTTCTAAATGCACGTTATAAGAGACCTAATCTCACAGGGCTTGCAGAAGTGAAGCATTTACTGTGAAAACACCAAATAATGAGCTGCACACGTGTAAATTAATACAGTGCTGCGCTTCGCTCTGAAACTCACTGCGCATATGTTTATTTAAAGTGATTTTATTTTGATGTTTTGTGCAGCTTTAGCATGTACTATACAATGATTCAGATCTGTGTTAGGATGCTGTCTTTGAAGGCAGCTGTCTATGTAGGTGCTGTCCAGTAAGGCAGATCACTAGGATTTGGAACAGAGCCATTAAGAATGTTGTTTTGGTAGATGTGTCAAATTATTTTGTTGACGATTATAAATGCTGAATCATATCCCCAGCTCCGCCCCAGCCCCATACATCAGCTGTGACATGTTCGTGTGATGCTTGCCACTACATGCTCTGTACATCATTAAAATTCACCATGCCTTGCTAATATAGTGACAGCAGAACACTCACAGTTAGATGGTTTATCTGCTTTTGTTTTGGGATCAACACAAAGTGCCCAATCGTCCAGTAAATGCAGGGTTATCAGGACTAAAAGCAGGCAAGCATTTTTCTCACAGATATTGCATCTCATCATTCAATCAAAAACTTTACAAATCATCAGCTTCCTGGCAGGAGTAACTGATCACTGACTCACGTCTTTTGGTTCGCACGCCCATGGCTTTGAGCTTGTTTTTCGTCACTGCACGCAATCTGTTGTCAGCCCTGAGCTGTGACAGGACACTTATTAGCGGTGTGGGCTAAGGCAGACATCACTATTGTTATTGTTCATTCAAATTATTAAATTTTCCAACCAAAAACTCATTCCTCACTGCTTGTGCTGTGTTATTGTGCATGAAGGATTCCTCAAATTGTGCAGCTTATTGAATGAGGTGTGTAGATTTACGGTTTTCCCTCAACAACAGGCAAAATTTGCTTTTGAAAGTATTTGAGAATTCACTGTAAAATATTTAGAAAATTATATATATATATATATATATACTGTATATATATATATAAAAAACAACGATTCTACACTATTTCTGGGTCACTTATTAATAATCAAATTAATAATGCATTAATAATTAATTAATACATTTTTCTTGTTTCTCAATTTATGCCGAATAACCTGGACAACCAGGTTTTGTTCATGTCATCTAATAAAAAAGAGAGACATAAACTGAATTTTTTTTTTTTTTT